CAGGGGTTTCAAACTTGAGCAATACAGGATTTGATTTCATTTCAGAAATAACCACCCCTTCATTCACATCTGATTCTGACACAGTTTCCAGGCTAGAAATCTTTGGTGTAATTTCACGGAGGAAAACTGGTCCATGTAACCAGGTTTCAGATACACAAAGCTCTGGACCTGAGATACCTCTGCTCAGTAAGTCTGCAGGGTTCTGATTACCTGGACGCAACCACTGAGATGGGTCAGTCAGACTCTGAATTTCAGATATTCTGTTTGAAACAAAAGTTTTCCACTTTCTTGGATCACTTTTTATCCAAGATAAAACTATGGTGGAATCAGTCCAGCAAGTATAAGGAACATTTGCTGAAAAATGTAAACTGTCTCTCACAAAGGACAGCAGTTTTGTAGCTAACAATGCTGCCAACAATTCAAGCCTAGGTAATGTAATAGGCTTCAGAGGGGCTACCCTGGCCTTACTATACACCAGAGAAGTACGCCATATGCCATCCTTGGACAAAGTGCGTAAATACAAACAGGCACCATATGCCTTTTCAGAGGCATCACCAAATGCATGAAGCTGATATACCTCTACATCATTCCAGTGACCCACTGTATAACATCGAGGTATTCTCCACCCTCTCACTGCATGCAAACCCTGCAACCAGCACTTGAACTGCTGTGCAATGATATCTGGAATAATCTCATCCCAGTCTAAGTGCAATCGCCATAGCGACTGAAACAAACACTTGAGCACTACAATGAAAGGTGCCAACAACCCCAAAGGGTCAAATAAACGTGCTAAATAACTCAAAATAACTCGTTTGGTAACACAAACATCAGAAGACAATTCTAATCCATCAAAATAAAAACAATCCTCTGTAGGCATCCACTGTATGCCAAGGTCTTTAAGCATTTTTTCAGTGACAGTCCGGTCACTGAATTCCTGACTGAGCAACTCGCCCACAGTGTCACTGTTTGAAACCCACTTTGAAAATTTCATGCCAGCTTGTTGCATTATGGAGTCTGCCTCTCTTATAAATGCACAAGCTTCAATCTCATCATCACATCCAGAAATGAGATCATCCACATACAAATTCTGATTTAATTCATCCACTACATGAGAAGTAGGGTATTGGGACAAATGATGTTTCACTGTGGCATTTAACAGAAATGGGCTACACTTATTACCAAAGGGAACCCTCGTAAATCTCATTGTTTTCACAGTACCCATATCATCCCATAAGAAACGATGGACATCACGGTCCTCTGGCTTCACTTGAATCTGCAAAAAAGCCTTGATTATATCAGCGCACACAGCAACTGGCCAACGTCTGAAACGAATCAATATTTCAATGAGATTTGGAATCAAGGAAGGGCCAGTTTCTAAACAATCATTCAGAGATATTCCATTGTAACCCTTTGATGATGCATCAAAAACAGGGCGGATTTTTGTACTGGCACTCCCCTCTTTGATAACAGGCCTATGAGGCATATAATAGACAGGGTGTGGCAGCTCAGACACATTGGGAATATCTTCAACTTGTTCAATGAAACCATTTTCAAGGTATTCACTTAAGACACCATGATACTGCTTTTCTAACGTAGGTGTTTTAGCCAGTTTTTTAGAGGTGTTATTCAATCTCTTTCTGGACTGAGATTCATTTTCCAATAAACTACCTCTAGCAAATTCATTTTTCCATGGTAGAGAAACTTCGTATCTACCACTGGCTAAATGCAACACAGAAATTTCAAACTGTTTCATCAAATGATCATCTGAAAAGGATGACTCATCCTTGGCTACCCCTACACTCTCTAAGTCCCAAAAACTATGGGCTGCTTTTTCAGAGAAGTCTGATAGACAGAATAGCTGATGAGAATGTGAAACAAAAGAGGTCTCAGAAACAGGCACTACTCCTGATACTATCCAACCAAAAATGGATTTCTGAGCAATCAAATGTTGTGAAAGTTTCACGGTTTCACCAGTGAAAAATCGCCAATATGAATCCAGGCCAATGAGGATATCAATGGACACCTTCTCCCCGGGACTATTTTCCACATTTACCACTTCTCCCTCAAGGGAATTTAAAAAATGTGGAGGTACTAATGGACAAGAAAGTGGCGCTGAAATGACTGGGACTCCAGTTGCCATGATTGAAATTACACCCTGATTTTCTTTTAAGACAACATTGTAAACATCACTAAATGAAGTTTGGGTTGAATTCTCATTGCCAAAGTTACTATAAGAAACACATTCACGATCAACCCATTCAGGTGAAACCCTGTTCACCAAATCTTGGGAAATGTAAGTTTTATCAGACCCTGTATCAAATAACACATTGGCATAAACACTCTCCTTGGGTCCTTGAATCTGAATTTTCACAACTTGCAAAAGTACCTTGCCCTTCCCAGAAAGTGAATGGTTAGTTACACCTGACCTATGAGTTGCTTGGTTAGTCCCACCTGACCCAGGAGCGAAATCCTTGACCTACACCTAAGTTGGATCTAACAGGGCATGCTTCAGTGACTGATTTAAATGCACCACAAAGTAATTTGTTGTGGCTACCATTGCATTTAGTACATGTAACCCTACACCTACTAAAATTGTGACCCTTCTTAACAGCTAAACATCTAAAACATGCACCTATCTGACGTAACATGCGCTTTCTCTCATTAGGTGAGACTGCTGTAGTACTTAATATCAAAACAATGGTCAATAGAGTGACCTGTACGATGGCAATAGGCATATGAGTTACCTGAACTGTTCACACTTGTCTGCAAAGCTGCTGCAGTGCGTGGCAATGTTTTTGACTTTCCTGTTGAACCACATGTAGTAACTCCCATTGTGAATGACTGTGACCTTTCCATACGTTGAATTTCTCGGTGTAAAAAATCCATGGACCATTCCAGATCACTCTCCCGATGCAGACTGTCACGAGCCCACTCCAGTCTCATGGTCTGTGGTAACCTTGATATCACCAAGGGCGTGAGGATAACTCCATATTGTCGTCCATGAATTCCTAAATTTTCCAAGCTCCTCACATGTGCTGTTAGGTCATTGTAGAATTTCCAGTACTGAGTAATGGTTGGATTGGATGGCAGAGTTATTTTCAATACTTCCTGGATGTGATTGAAAATGATTTTCTCACTATTTCCAAATCTATCTATTAATAGTCTTTTTGACACTTCGTAGTTGTCTTTGGTAAGGGTTAGACCTGCAATAGTGGCCTGGGCCTCTCCCTCTAGCAAAGAGCGCAGATACGCAAATTTGGAAATAGTGGAAATGTCATTATTGTCAATGACTGCACAAAATTGATCGAAAAAAGCGGGCCAATCCAAGACATTGCCTGAGAATTTTGGTAAGTCTATTTTTGGCAGCTTAGCGGACGGAAAATGTTTTATATCACTGCTCACCTCTCGTGTTTGGTCACTGGAAGGTGGAGATTTTATAGACTGTACCCGTCTCATGGCCTTAACATACCATGACTTGGCCTCATCTCTGAAAGCTGCCGCCTCCCGTTGGTCTGCTTCCATGTCCTCACTTGATTCAATTTCCATTTCCACATCCATTTGAACTTCATCAAGTTTAGATATCCTCTTTTCCAAATCCGAAACACAGTCTTTTAAAATGTCAATATCCTCTTCTTCACTTTCCAAAATATCTCTGATTCTTTCACATGAACGAGTCACCCAACCTCTCACTGAGGCTCTGGATTTTTTTACCTTTGACATGACTAAGCGTGTAAATCCTTGACGCTGTAGTCCTGCAATATGATTCCCGGCTCGCGGCACCAAATGTAAGATAAAAGTAATAAAATCGCTGGTTCAATTTTTTATTATTATTTTACAGTTTTACAGTACATTCCACGTGTGTGTATCACAACTCCGCATGGAGTCTACTCCCTAACATGGAAAACAACACGTGTCCAACAAAATCAGAACTCCGCATGGAGTCCACACTCTCCAACCTGCAAGAACTACTCACTTTTTACCACTAGAGGGACCCACTGTACAGCCACCTCCAACACCATCCAACACAATCGGTTACAATCATAACAATATTTGACAGACCAGGGCCGTAGCCTCCGGGGAGGCAGGGGGGGGGGCAGCTGCCCCCCCCCTGGGATTTAGAAGTTTCCACACTGGTAGGGGGACACCCCCTCCCCCCTCGGGGGCTTCGCCCCCTCGTGTCCGCTTACTGCCCCCCCTGGCATTCTGCTCAGGCTACGGCCCTGCAGACTGTGCCGTAGATAATACTTTCGGGTCAAATGAGAGCCAGCCAAGGGCACATTTCGGGAACACCATTGATCACGCCATGTTGGACATTCACAGGTGTAAAACCAGAACAGAGCATCTCGGAAACCAAGGGACAGACGTAAATCATTACACTTGCGCGTGTCTTTCCTCATGAAGAAATGAGTCTTTTCAGAGTGGGACGCGACTTGATCAAGACAATTGTAGAGCACAATTAAATACACGGCCTTCTCTGCTTCTTTTTCAACACTATTATCTATTTATTTATCTTTAATAATTGATTCCTATTTGTTTATTTATCCATCTTATAATAGCCTGGTTAACCTGCCTGGTTTACATAGCCTGGTTTACCTGATCCATTAGTCTTACGTATCAAGCGGATCTGGGAAGGGAGGGCCTGTAGTATATTAGTTTGGGCTTGTCATGACGTGCGCCCTCTAGTGAGCATGTAAGACAGAAGCACATGGTTCAGTAATAAAGTCAGTTGTGAAGATATTACATTCTGGCGACAAGGATGGCGAGGATTGGCCGTCTAAATGAATTTGACGATAGTAAAGAAAATGTTGAGTGCTACATACCCAGATAGCAAGCATACGTTGGGCCAACGTAGGGGAATCGTTGGTTTGTTGGCACATAGTTGGCGTTGGTAGTAATACGTTGGCCCAACGTTGGCCCAACCACATCATAATATGCACAACATAGCTGCAATATGCTCACGTTGGCCCAACGTTGTTAAAACAACTCAATAGAAATGAATAATGTTTCTGTTANTAGAGAGGTTAGAGCAATATTTTTTAGTCAATGACATAGAAAATGACAAGAAAGCTGCAGTGTTACTAACAGTTATTGGCAGTACAGCGTATGCAAAGCTAAAAAGTTTAACTTCGCCGGAGTTACCCAGCACGCTGAGTTATGACCAGCTGAAGGGCCATTTACAGAATTATTACGCTCCAAAGCCTTTGGTAATTGCTGAGCGATTCAAGTTCATGAAAAGAAACCAACTTGAAGGTGAGAAGGTTAGTGAATATCTATCAGAACTGAGACGATTGTCAACACATTGTGAGTATGGAGACTTTTTGAATCAGGCGTTGCGTGACAGATTTGTTTGTGGTCTGCTTCATGAAGGGACACAAAAGAAATTATTAGCAACCAAGGATCTTACACTTGAAATGGCATTTGACGTTGCCATGGCCATGGAATTGGCACACTGCCATTCTCAGCAATTCAGACCGCCAATAGCAGAGCCAGCCAATGTGCATAAAGTAACTACTAGCAATTCAAAAGAGAGCAACCGACCAGCGGTAAGGAAAAACAAAAGTGTAAACAAATGCTGGCGATGTACAGGAAATCACTCTCCAAATGACTGCAGATTTAAAGATGAGAAATGTTTTGTATGTTCTAAGGTAGGACACATTGCTAAGGTGTGTTGGGAAAGAGGGAAAACAGTAAATGAGGTCATCGAAGATACCTTAGAAAACCACTCTGACATTTTACACATTTATTCATTAAAGAACAACAGCAATAGGAAAGGGGTCTTCGTACCCATAGCAATCGATGGACAAATAATACAAATGCAAATCGATACCGCAGCTGAGGTTTCAGTGATAACTGAGGACACATACAAGAAACATTTCAGTCATAAGAAACTGGGTTCAGCAGATGTAAGGCTAAGAGCCTACAATGGGGAGACCATCCCGCTGATAGGGAAAATCACCGTGAATGTTGTTCATGAAGGGCAAAATCTCCAACTGCCACTTATAGTAGCAAAGGGCAGTGGTAAGCCGCCTCTACTTGGATATGGATGGCTACAAAAATTGAAATTAAATTGGAAGGAGATATTCGCCATATCACAGCCTCTGGTGCCAAATGTAGGAGAGGAGCTTATGAACAAATATGAAAATTTGTTCTCAGAGGGATATGGGAAAATTAAGGAGTTCAAAGCTCATATCAGAGTCAAAGAAGATGCATCACCTGTGTTCTGTAAGGCCAGGCCTGTGCCTTACGCATTAAAACCAGCAATAGAAGCAGAGTTGAATAGACTAGAGCAAAGTGGCATTATAGAAAAAGTAGATCACAGTGAGTGGGCAGCTCCCATAGTGGTTGTACCCAAAAGTGATGGGTCAGTGAGAATTTGTGGTGACTATAAAGTAACTGTGAATCAGGCTGTATCACAAGAACAGTATCCACTTCCCACGGCCAAGGATCTGTTCTCAACGTTGGCAGGGGGAACTGTTTTCACAAAGATCGATCTGTCTAGTGCCTATGCCCAGTTGGAGCTCGATGAAGAAAGTCAAAAGTATCTTGTTGTGAACACACACAAGGGGTTGTATAAGTTCAAGCGCTTAGCTTATGGAGTCAAAAGTGCACCTATGATCTTTCAGTGTGTAATGGATCAAATGTTGAAAGATTTTGATGGCGTTATTTGTTCACAAGATGATGTTTTGATCAAGGGCATAGAGGAAGATGGTAAACATGAAGAAGATATCAAAAAGGTTGAAAAAGTGTTACAGCGATTGAAGGAATATGGAGTAAAGGCTAAGAGAGTGAAGTGTCGCTTTCTGGAGCCTAAAGTTGAATATCTGGGACATATGGTGGACAAAGCTGGACTTCATCCTACAGAGGAGAAAGTCAAGGCTATTCGAGATGCACCCGTGCCCAAGAATGTACAGGAGCTCGAGTCATTTATTGGACTTGTAAACTACTATGGTGCATTTTTCAAAGACATGTCTACCACACTTGCACCATTAAACAGACTAAGGCAGAAGAATGTCAATTGGAAATGGACTGAGGAATGTCAAAAGGCATTTGATGCATGCAAATGTGAGTTAAGCAGTGACAGAGTGCTTACACACTATGATTCTCAACGCAAAATAAAACTAGACTGTGATGCCTCGGCATATGGAGTGGGGGCAGTCATTAGTCACATCATGGATGATGGTTCAGAGAAACCAATAGCATTTGCATCACGAACTCTGAGCAAAAGTGAACGCAACTATGCTCAGATTGAAAAGGAAGCACTAAGCATAATATTCGGTGTTACAAAATTTCATCAGTATCTGTATGGAAGAAAATGGACTCTAGTGACTGATCACAAACCACTCCTTACCATACTGGGCCCAAAGACAGGAGTGCCTACACTCGCAGCAGCAAGAATGCAACGGTGGGCTATTATTCTGTCAGCATATGACTATGACATCCAGTATCGCAAGTCAGAACTACACAGCAATGCAGATTGTTTGTCGCGTTTACCACATGAGGTGTCATCAATTGGCAGTGATTGCACAATATATGTATGTGAAGTAGCTACAGAGCTACCACTTACTGCTAGTGACATAGCTGAGGCCACTCGGAAAGATTCTGTATTAAGCAAAGTCATGGATTATACGATGAGTGGTTGGCCAGAGTATCTAGATTCAGAGATACTCAAACCATATCATGTCAGGAGACATGAGCTTTCAGCAGAGCAAGGGTGTATCTTGTGGGGAAACCGTGTTGTGATACCAGAGATCTACCGTCAAACACTGCTAGAGGATTTGCACTGGGAGCACCCTGGAGTGTGCGCTATGAAAGCAATAGCAAGGAGTTATGTTTGGTGGCCAAATTTAAACAGTGATATTGAATGTAAGGTGAGAGAATGCAGCGCATGTCAGTCTGTGCGCAACATGCCACCAGCGTCACCATTATACCCTTGGAAGTGGCCAGTTAGGCCATGGAGCCGTATTCATTTGGATTTCTTTTTTAAGGAAGGGAAAACATTCCTTTTAGTGCATGATGCACATTCCAAGTGGCTCGAGGTGATACCAATGTCTAATACAGATGCCGAACACACCATCGATGAACTTAGAATACTGATTGCATCATATGGACTACCTGAGGAAGTTGTATCTGATAATGGACCTCAGTTCAGTTCAGATAAATTCCGGGAGTTTCTGAAAACAAATGGCATCAAACAAACCTTGGTTCCACCTTACCACCCCCAGTCGAATGGGGCTGCGGAAAATTCAGTGAAAAATGTGAAACGAGCATTGGAAAAACACTTGCATGATGTGAAGTACAAAAATATGTCATTAAAGCGTAGATTAGCAAATTTTTTGATGCGTTATAGATCCACTCCTCACACTACCACAGGAAAAACTCCTGCAGAACTTTTTCTTAAGCGACAGATTCGCACACGTTTCAGCCTACTTAAACCCAATTTGGCTGATGTTGTAGAGGAGAAACAAATGCAACAGAAACGACATCATGATAAAGCACCAGAACGTTGTTTTCAGTGTCACGACCGTGTACGTGTCAGGGACATGACGGGCAGCAAGTTGGATAAATGGTTGACTGGATCGGTGATTAAAGTTTTGGGCCCAAGGAGATACTTAGTACAAACTGAGAAAGGACTAAAGCATGTGCATGTTGACCAAATAATACCTGCATTTGACCAGTATTGTTTTTCAAAGGTATTTTCATCTCCAATGGTGGAGATGCCTGTAATTAATGAGAATTTTGGTATGACAACCAGACATGTGTCAGACACACCAGTGCCTACCAGTCAGGTCACTGACACTGGTGACATAAATGTAGAGGAAAATATTAATGTGGAAATTTCAGCATCTCCTGGGAAAACCCAAGTCACTACAGGTGACGAATCTGTAAAAATTAGCAATTTTGAAAGCAGGTACCCAGTGAGAAATAGAAAACCAAAAGTTATTGTTGATGTGTAAATATTCAAAGCAGCAAAGAACTCAAAACACACTGTGACTATTAATTACACTGTCTTAAAAAAGAAGACTGTTGCATGACCTAAAAGACTTGTTCATAACTGTTTATGTTCATTTTTTCTTTTCAGTTATTTTACTACTGGTGTTGTGGAATTTTTTAACGGTGTTCTATTTTTAGTGTTTAACATATCAGTTCATTTGGGAATCTATAAAAGTGTCACTTACAAAGGGGGAAGGAATGTAGTATATTAGTTTGGGCTTGTCATGACGTGCGCCCTCTAGTGAGCATGTAAGACAGAAGCACATGGTTCAGTAATAAAGTCAGTTGTGAAGATATTACAGGGCCCATCTCCACCATTCCCATTTTCTTCAACGCTGACCATAATTTCCCATAATGTATGAATTTTAAGAAATACTGGATCCTCGCCTACATATGCCTGTGTATTTTAAAATTACTCAAAACATGCATCCAGTACCACTAAAGAAACCCTATTTAGTCATACAAGTAAATTAAAACGTACATTTTACCTATTTTGGATAATATTTACAGTACAAAAACATTATATTTCAAAAACGTTCTCTCTCATAACGTTGGGCCAACAACAGGTACTTTTTCACCATTATCCCATGAAGTCGCAGGCAATATCTTATGTGGAGATGAAGTCGCATTTTATCCTATGAAGTCGATTTGACAGTAAAATCAGAGCATTTTTCCCATGAAGTGGTAATATACCATGAAATATCTTAACAGACGTTTATTCACTTGCGTCAGGCTAGTTCTTTTCCCACTCCCGCTTCAGTGAAAGGTGGGTATGGTTTATATTCCGCTGCTACTTCTGGTGATTAAGGGTGGTATGCCCTGGAATCCTTTCCCTACAACGGATCAAAATTTTACTATCATGAGATTACATGTTGAGCAGATTAGTTTTAACTTCGAAAAGAATTTTATTTATATCTCAGCTTTCTCAATTTAAAAGATGAAGGTCATGGGTCTATAGACTAGGTCCTATATGCACCATTCAAACAATATATGTGACGAGGGTGATTTAGAGAATGTCATTCAGTTTGAAAAGAAAAAAATCAACGTAAAGTGTAGATTTATGTTTTCAATTTATTTAGAAATTAGCAGTGAACTTTAAGAACAAGTTACCGTTTATTTATCCGTATCTGTCATAATTCGTGGGCCTGTTTTCCCCACACGGTCCCGTGCAGTCGCAGCGCTGATATTTAAGGTCTGAATTACACTGGTACTTCTGCCCAGACCTGCTGCTTCTCTCACACCTCTGGGCAATACACAGCTGTTTTCCGTCCTCTCCACACGAAGCCAGCAGCCATTTATTTTTGATAGACCTACACACGCCTCTCCCCATATAATCCTTCCAAACGCCGGTCCCAGAACCTTGACAGTTCTCAGCATCGTAAGGGCACTTCCGATATCTTTTGATAATGGGACTCCAACACTTCATTCTGAATTGTATATTTCTGTATTCCGCGCGCGACCAGTTGGTGTAATCGATGCAGTTGGTGCCATCGTCCTCACACCGTTGGCACTTTCGAACTCTAACTCTGTTTTGCCAAACACTGTTGCATAACCTCTTGCACGAACTCCACTCGCTCCAAGGACCCCTCTTGAATAAGTAACCATTAACTTTAGACGCAGCTACTGTTACTGCAACACAAATGATTAATGCACGCCAATGCATTTTTTCTTTGTCTGCATATATTGTTCATAGTGAATTGCTCAGCAATATTGAACGCCATAATGACAAGTTTTCAATTCCGCATATTATGCGAGTACATGTGGTTAATCGTGTTCGTATTGTCATGATATAGTTAAATATATTATAGTAGGATTGCGTTCAATCACATCATACTGAAATTAGATATGGCGATGAACCACATGTAGGGCCTACTCGCATAATATGCGGAATAGCATAAGTCTCAAACTACTGCGCATGCGCGAAAAGTACGCTGTTTGAAATAAACAAATGCATTTATTTTCTCTTCATTGTAATAGGGGAATTCCTTGCTCATTTATAGTGTCATATGTGGCACCAAGGGGATTTTCCACCCCTCCCCCACTCTTGATTAATAAAATTATTCATCGGGAGGGATGAAAATTATATTGCAAAATACATTAAAAATCGTAGGAAGGTTAATTGCAGATAATGCTGTGAGGATATTCTAGGGGGTCATGCCGATACTCCCCCGCACCGTTACTCCCCCGCACTAATACTACCCCGCACCGATACTTCCCCTTAGTAAATTTTTGCATTATGCACATCGATACGATCCCACACCGATAGATCCCCGCATCGATAAATCCCCTCTAAAATTGCCGTTATATGCGTACCGTTACTCCCCCGCACCGATACTCCCCCGCATCATTACTCCCCCTATGCAATTTCCACGAAACTGAGGGTCTGGGTAACGGAGAGTCAGCCCTCCATTTAATTATACAGGTCAGGGTCAGTCTACGTAAGTGGGTCAAAATCTAGGGCGGGGCTGAATTACCTATGCAAATTGATGGGAACCGGACTGTCTATCATGGGAGAGTCTGTCACTTCGCATCGATATTTTTTCACATAGAGATTTGAAAAATTGGTCAACGAGTCGGAAGCACGGCCTATATTGTATAAGAAATACTTTTTTCAAATGGAAAAACGTTTTGGATATTGGTGAGATATGTGGAAAAAAATGGCCACAGGGAGATCCTTGGTGATGTTGTTTTTATGCTATTGCGCGGTGCATACAAATTTTAATTGCTTACAATTGAACATCGGTATTGTACAAAAGAAGCCGCAAAGTTCCTAAAAAATCTTGGGCGACAACACATTAATCTCGGTCACTACCGGCCGCACGGGCTCTTTCGACCCGTTTGAGTCCAAATTTTGCTGAGAATCTCATGTGCCACGCAAGTCCTTTATGCAAAATTTCGAGTTTGCACGTATGTAAGCACGTACGGAGGATACTGAACATTTCCAATAGATTCTACAAATAATCTTCAAACCGCGAGGCCGCAAGCGTAACTTGCTCCCTTCGCAAGGAGTTTGCGAGGAGTTTGCAAGTGAGACTTGCGTGGTCCAAGATGCACGTCGCAAGCAATGAAAGAGAAAGTGCCCTTTGCGTGTTGAGTACGACGCACGCCCTCACATCTATGACAAAGTAAGTCGAAAACACGGCGGGACTGCGAGAATAAAAGGTGTGGTCACGACGCATGCTCGTGTCTCTACAATTTCGTTGTCCGACAATTTTCAAAAATTTTGAATTTTGCTCAATTCAGATTCTAATATGCCTCCAAAAGACAAGTGAAAGAAGCTTTAAGAGCAGAAAAGAAGGTTGGAGGAAGAAAACTTAATAATTTAACAAAATCATCGTTGCCTGAAGAAAAGACATAGCTGCGTTATCTTAGATTAAAACTAACGTTGCCTTAAGTAAATAAATAAAAGGGCGTATAATATAAATACGGTAACTACAGTAGGAGAACAATATTAATTTTGCAAAAACATTTCTCAAAAATCACAAGGCAGAGCTGTAGGCCTACGTACTGTCAAGCTGCACACAAAATCTGAGATCAACTTCGTGTAACGTTCTTTATTTTTCCCAATATATTTCGAATAAAAATAGTCAATTCTGGGTCCCAAGAGGGTGGTGCATCTTGAAAAAAAAAAGCATTATAGAAAGGGATTTGAATCACGAATTGTGTTTACAAAGCCAAGGGAATCTTTGCTTTGGGGAAGTAGTGTTTTTGCGGAGAATTGGTACGCGGGAGTATCAGTGGGGGGAAGCATCGATGCGGGGATGTAAAGAAGCGGGGGAGTATCGGTGCGGGGGAGTATTGGTGCGGGGATGTAAAGAAGCGCGGGAGTATCGGTGCGGGGGAGTATCGGTGCGGGGACGTATAGGCATGTAACCATATTCTAGTCGGGGGCGAACTCAGCCAATATAAAAATTTTAACTTCGTCATACGATTTTGGAGCGCCTGTTCTAATTTTTGAAAGCGAGGCAATGGAACCAAACAATACGAATCTCATAAAAATTGATATTTTTTGATAGAGGTTATAGGCGTACATCAAAAGGCGACTCGTTTATTATTGTGATATGTAATAATAATTAATATAAAAGATACGATATTATAGGGTCTTGTCGATGGCCTATTTATTAGCTTTATTGATTTTTTTAAAGTATTTGGAGATTAAGAACACAAAAGCTGAATGGTTTCAAATCGAGGCACCACGTATTAACCATGGAAAAGGTCAAGGACATTTCAGATCGCTGACGGTGCGCGCGCGCCGTCTGGTGTTAAGTCCGCGAATGACCGTTTGCAGTAACTGATTGTTGAGTTGCTGTAACTGATTGTTGAGTTGCGGTAACTGATGTTGAGTTGCGGTAACTGACTTTTGAATCGTTTATTGTACCACCAGCGTTAGCGCTGGCGGTACACATGGTTTTAGTCCCGTCCGGATCGTTCCGCCGGCTCCGCCGGCTCCGCCGGACGGCTACCGTTACCGCTTCTCCTCCTAGACGGTAAGGGCCCCCGTACCCATCTCTTGGATTTAGGTCACCTATAATCTCAACTCGTTCCACGTAAAATTTGGGCTTTGTCGGTTTTGGGGTCTAGGTGTGGCACTCATTGCAATGCACCCTTGTCTAAAAATGGCAAAATTAAATGCTAATTATCTACCCTACGGAAGGAATTATGGGAAAAATTTCTACAGACGGCTTTCCAAAAGTCATATGTGTAGATTTCAAATATGCCCTTGGATTTGACCTTTGACCTTTATTTCAAGGTCAAACGGGCCAAAAATTTCAAAAAAATGATTTTTTTACGAAAAAAAAAATTATTTGCCCTGTTATTCAGACACCACACAGACTTAACCAATAATATTATTGGAAAGTGTAACCCTTCAGGTCATCTTTCATCTCCGTGAATTTGGGGTCAATCGGTGCATTTTCACGGGAGTAGCGGCCATAAGATACCGAAACTGAAAACTGTCTCTAAT